CTAAAGAAACCCAAGAAAACCAAGAAAAAACAATCAAACAAGTGAACAAAATAGTTTAAGACATGAAATTTCACCGAAGGTAAATTTGATGCTCAATAAACAGACATTAAGGCCAGTGAGATGGCTTCAGATGAAAATACACTTGCCACAAACCCTGACAATTTGAGTGTCATTCTTGGGACTCATGTGATGGAAAGATAAATTTGACTCTTGTAAGTTGTCCTCTGATCTACATATGCAGTGACACATATACACTCACCCAAAAATTAATAATATGGTGGAAAGTTGATAATGGGAGTTGTGGAAATGGTCCAGTGGGAAAAGTACATCATAAAAAACAGTTTGGATCCCTAGTATCTGTGTAAATCCAAGTCAGGGGTTAAAGCCCTCTTGGGTCCCCACTTGCAGGAGGCAGAGTCAAGGGATTCCCAGAGCAAACTGGCAAACTAAACTAGTCAAGTCAGAGAGAGTGGGGTTCAAGTGAGAGACTCTGTCTCGAAGTGTAAAGTGAAAAACTATTAAGAAGATACCCAATACCAATCTCTGGCCCCTACATGCACACACACACACATCCATGCATATGCACCTGAGTACATATGAGCATTCATGCAATGCAAATACATACATATGCACAATAAAATTATACACACACATATATGATAGTTTTAAGTTGTCAAAAGAGCTGCAAGGGGCACTGGGCATTTTCTAGTATCATGAGAACACACACTATGAGGGCCTGAAGTCTCGGAGTTTCTTCCCAAGGAGCATTTTGTAGAACTAAACCATTATTGACTCTCAGGAATCAACACTTAACCTTGTAGTAATTTGTCAGAATTCCTAAAAAAAATGCAGAGATTTTGGCTCAGGAATTCCCTGTTTCTTAAAAACATCATGTTTATGGGTCCATATCTATAGAGTGAAACAGAAAGCCTTGTTACCACACATACAGCAGAGAGGAGATAAACATGACCAAAGTCAATACATGAAACATACCAACAATTTGACTGCCAGAGAGATTAGGAAAAGCTTGAGGGGTTCAATGTGCATGTCAGTCCATTGTGTATATCTATTTCTACTGAGTTCTGGATCTAGGGATATCCTGAAAGTAAGTCAGGTCAAGTTAAAAGCAAATCTTATCAGAAAGCCCTCTAACTTCAGCAAATAGGTGGTGTAGTTCCTTTTGTCTTTGTGTTGCTTTCATTGGTTAATAAGAAACTGCTTTTGGCCCTTGACAGGGCAGAACTTAGGTAGGTGAGGAAAATTAAATGGAATGCTGGGAGGAAGGAGGCAGAGTCACAGAGATGCCAAGGACCCTTTGTAGGAGATAGAAGTGTGAGACTTTTCTGGTAGGTCATGACCTCATGGTGATATACAGATTAATACAAATGGGTTAAACTAATATGTAAGAGTTAGCCAATAAAAAGTTCGAGCTAATGGGCCAAGCAGTGATTTAATTAAAACAGTTTCTGTGTGATTATTTCAGGGTTAAGCTAGCTGGGCAGACAGGACAAATAAGCCCTCCTTGCAACAAATGGGAATTGAAAGTGAGTGTTTGTGTGCCCAGCAGATCTGTTTAACATCAGTATGAACTTTAAGAACTGTCACTGGCGATATGGCTCAGTAGTAGAGTGCTTGCCTAGAACATATAGGCTCTAGTTTGATCCCTAATTCCACCAAAAAAATGCAAAATGAACTCGACTCTCATTTCATTTTGGGCCTTCAAGATGACTGCACAGGTAAAGGCACTGGCTGCCAATGTTGATAACCTGAGTTTGAACTTCAGGATTCCATGTGATAAGAGAGAACTGACATCACAAAGTTGTTTTCTGAACTCCCACTCATACACAATCAGAAACACACTCACATCTGTCTCACGTGTTTCCATTAGTCTTAATAATAAAAACATGCTATTTTAAAATGTTTTTACAAAAGTTAATTTCAGCTTCTGCTATCACTTTTTAAAAATCACATTCTGGTGCCTGAGGAGAGCATCAGATTCCCTGGAACTGTAGTTACAGATGATTGATGGTTGTCAGTCACATGTGGTTGGCAGAATTCAAACCTGGGTCCTCTTAACCATTGAGCCGTAACTCCAACTTCTATTTCCAATGTCACTTTTGACCTTGCAGTCACTATCAGAATACAGGCCTGAATATAACCCCAATTCAAGGACATGGTGGAAGAGTAACATTTATGGTTACTCACTGGTATAGGAGCACCAGAATGATTACCAGGAGGACCCAAGTTTCCAGTGAGAGAATTGATGTCAGGTCCGTCATTGCGTGTCTATCAGCAATGTTCCCCTCTGTGCTCTCCCTCCAGCTGTGTGCTACTCTTTGCAGGGCTTCCCTTCCACCAATGGTACTGAAGGGTATTTATACATTGGAAAGATGGGCGGGTCCAGGGCTATAGTCAGCAGATGACTCACCTCTGCATCACCTGAACTTTGGTATCCTTTTAGCCTTGACAGATCATGAAGTTCATCACAGGCTTTTTTGACCTCCTATGAGTTAACATGCTGTGAAGAATCAATAAACAATGTTGTCATTTCAGGAATAACAAGGGTTCTACCTTTTCACCAAAAATTCAAGCAAATTCATTGACATAAAATTCCCCCCATCAACAACACTTGCTCCATTCAAAAGGACATGAAATAAAGCAACATTGTGCTGTCTTCTTGTAGATCTTTACAGAATCCCTCTCTGAAAGATACTTCATCCTTTTTCACAACGCCACACTACAAAACAAAAAACAAAAAAGCAAACAAAAAATAGTCTCGAAGAATATATCCTCATTTGTGCTGCTAACAAAGTCACTTTTTCTAAGTTATGACTCCCTCACAGGCATCTCCTTCCCTGTAATCCACCATCGAGGGTCTTCCTGTCAGGCCCCTTACTATATTGTGAGAATATTCTGGTCAGAAGTCACTGATATGTAATAGAGTGGTCATTCAGACCTGTCATGTTGAGTTAGGAGAGATGGCTGGGCCTAGTATGTCCCAATGGACCAGTCTCTCAGCACAATTAAATGAGGTCATGTTTTACAGAGGGAGGAAATGAGATTCAAGCCTGCAAGTGACCGTGTGTGTGTGTGTGTGTGTGTGTGTGTGTGTGTGTGTGTGCGTGCGTATGTGCATTAAAACAACTCTCTGTTCAATTGCTCATAAATGTTAGGGGAGATTTTTTGGAGTGATGAGAATGTTCTAAAACTCACTGACTATGTAGCTTTGTATAACCACTTTGATCCATATTAAAAACCATTGAAAATTGTAGCGTGAATGGATAAACCATACAGTGTGTGAATTTCCATACCATTAAGGCAGGTATATTGCTTAAAGTCTTTACTTTTATTTGATACCACTGATGTTTGTTTGTTTGTAAAAAATAAAGTCCAGGAATAGTAATAAAAATCAGCCGGGAGAGTGACAGCTCAGCAGTCACAAAGCCCTGGCTCCATCCCCAGCACCACATACTTGGTGGTTCACTTCTGTAACCCCAGAACTCAGGGAGTAGAGGCAGGGGGATCACAAATTCAAATAGAAATTTCAAAGCTACATAAGGAGTTTGAGACCAGCCTTGGGCACATGAGACCCTGTCTTGGGAAATAAAAACCAACAACAATACCAAATTCTTCTACTCCTTCAATATACCAAAATTCAACACCTGCTCTCCCTGACAGTAGTGATCATGAGAAAGAGACAGAACTTACCACTTAATGCTGAACTATTGACACCTAACAGGTTCTGGGTGAGAGGGAGGCATTGTATGCCTTTGTGTGTTAGCCCACTGGTGAGTGGTGAGCCCACAGGCTCTACTGGACAGTTCTAAACCCATGGTCAGACAGATGGTACTAGTTAAAGTCTGCCAGCCACAGAAGAAATCATGAATATTGGAAAATGATTTTCAGGGAGGAAGTAAGATTGACAAGTGTGGGAGAGAAATCATAGAGAGTAGGGGAAATTAGCTGGAATGCATTATATACATATGTAAAGTGGTCAAACAACAAGCTTACTAATCAAAAATAAGTGCAGAATGGTACTCTGGGTTGAGGATGTAGCTCAGTTAAGAGTTCTTAGTACTCACAAAGCTCTAGGCTGGATCACCAACACAACATTAACAGGGCCTGGTGGTGGTTCTAATCCCTGCACTCCAGAGGTAGAAACAGCAAGATCAGAAGTTCAAGGCCATTCTTAACTACATATTAAGCTTGAGGCTAACCTGGGCTACAGTGTGAGGTCCTGTATTAAAAAAAGTACATGACCCTTCAATAAGGAAATCAGCAGACAAAGACTCCAGGTTTTTAAATATAAAATATTATGTGCAGCATTTTTATAGTTGTATATTTAATATACATTATTGCATCTGCATGTTCTCTTTCTTGTTTGTTGACTTTTTATTTAAAAAAATCTGTTTTTCACTTTGTACAATTTTAGTTTCCCCTCCTTTACCTTTCTCCTGCCATCCAACCTCCCCACTTCGTACCCTTCATCCACTCCTCAGAGGGGCAAGGCTTTCAATGGGAAGTCAACAAAAATCTGATGTATCAAAATTTGTCAGGACTAAGCCCCTCCCCCCTGTATCAAGGCTGAGCAAGGTATCCCACCAAAGGGAATGGCCTCCAAAGAGACAGTTCATGAACCTGGGATAGGTTCTTGCTGCCACTGCCAGTCCCTGTCAACATATCAAGTCACATAACTGCCATCCCCATTCAGAGAGTTCAGTCCTGTGCAGGTTCCCCAGACAGTGCATAGTCTGCGAGCTCTCACTAGCTTGGCTGAGCTATCTCTGTGCTCTTACTCATCATGGTCCTAACCCCCTTGTTCATATGATCCCTCCTCCCTCTCGTCAACTGATCATGAGCTCAACCCTGTATTGAAAAGAGAGTACAAGACCCTTCAATAAGGAAATCAGTAGTCAGAGACTCTAGATTTTTTTTTAATATACAGTATTATATGCAGTATGTACAGTGTTTTTACAGTTGTATATTTTAGTATACAGTATTCCAACTATACATTATCTATGTATAATCACATGCTATGGGCATAAATAACAACAAACACTGCTGGGAATATAGATCAGTGGTAAAGATGAAGAGCCACACACATGATCTCCTAGATTCAATCCCTTTTAGCAGGGAAAAAAATCCCAAATTTGCTACATTGACTGTCCATTGGTAATGCTTTGAGTGGATGAGATGGCTTAGCTTGTAATGGTGTATGCTGCCAAAACCTGATGACCTGAGGTTTACCCTTGGGACCCACATGGTGGGAGGAGAGAATCAACTCCAACGTCTTCTGATTTTCACCTGATTGCCATAGCCCTGTCAGATGCACACAGAATGCACAAATAATAGAAAAAACATTTAAAATAGCATCAACACCATGTATTATGTTATTTTCCCTATAGAGAAAAACAATGTACATGTCTTAGAACATGTATATTTTTTACACACTGACTAGGCAATGACTGTTGGCATAGACTCCAAGCACTCTAATCATGTCCTGTGAAAAGCAGGGCAGGGAGATGCCATGAGCCTAAGGTCTCATACTTCCTGGTAAATCAGTTTTTTTCACACATTCAAAGAAAAGAGATTGAATGGAAAAAATGTGTGAGTGATCAGCAGTCAGGTGTAGAAATCAGACCATCTTAGCAAGTGTGTGCTGTAGAGGGAGGTCAGAAGGAATTTTTATAGGGCATTGGTTTCTAAAAAGAACCAGGAAGACTTTTGGTTTAGATGAACATGTTAGGCTGTTGATGACTGCAGGATAACCCACCCTCCTCTAACCTTCCTCGAGGGTATTCTCTGTGACTCTTCAGTTGGGGAGATAGAAAAGAGGTGATCCCACTCACCCACACCTTAGTTTCCTCCTGACTTACATCCCTCTTTCTCCCTCTGAGGGGTGAAGCCTGCTGGGTTCTGGGCACAGAGAAACCTGCATGTGCCAAGTAGAACAGAGTCTCAAATTTTCCCATCATCTCTAGAAAGGGAGAGACCCTTAACGAAATAGCAGCATATCAGTCAGCATGCTGAAAGGCAGCAGTAATTGGTCTCAGTAAGTTATTAACAACAGTAAGAACAACAGGAGATGATGCGGGAGAAGACATATTAGGAATGCCTAGAAGGGAGGGGGAGAGAAGAGTTGGTGTGTGTACAATCAAGACACATGGTGTACATGTATGAGATTGTCCAAAATAAGTAAGTATATTCTGTTTTTTAAAAAAAACTGTTGTTTCTGGAGATGTGGCTAAGCAGTTTATAGTGTTTGCTTCTCTTTCATAAGTCCTAAAATTGATTCCTTGCACTCACATTGAGTAGCTCATAACTGCCTGTAACGCTATTTCCACAATGATGATTGTGGTATTTTGACCTCCAAAGTCATACACATTTACACACACACACACACACACACACACACACACACACACATACACCAGTGTGTGAGAGAGAATTTTCAATGAAAAATAGCTGTTGAGTGACATTGTGATAGGTACAATGAAGTTAAACAAGCTTGAGTTGCATATTTCAGTAGGATTTAATATCCATGAATATTCCTTAATTTTGTTGTTCTCTGACAAAGATAAAGATTTGACATGAAGAATAGCAAGTGTATATGGTCTCTGGTATTCCAAGACTTGTGTCTTCATACCTGTAAAAGAGAAGCAGAAAAGAATTAAACTGAGCAATTGACTGCTTATGCCAATAAATATCTTTTTAATACTGCTTGCCTCTCCTAACTTCTCCCCCACATAGAGGTGTTTATGACACTCATTTCTTTCTCATTACTCTGGTCCTATTTATCACTTAGGTTCTCCCAAGTCCTCCAGGCCCACCATGATTCAAGAGTTTTTGGACCACTAAGAAAGAAGAAGGACTCTCAATAAGTCACCCACAGTTGTTGCTTTGAGGTCTAAAAATTACAATATTTTCTCAACTGGTGTATAGCGTGGAGCATTTCACAACCACAGGTCCATGCACATATGTATGCCCTGTACCAGCAAAACTGATATCAGAAAATGATATCTAATATTTACTGTTCTAAGCACTTTGCTCACATTAGTCAAACTCATCCACCTCTCTCCTGTGAGGATTGCTCTATCAAAAGTGAACAAACTATGTTCCAAATGTAAAATATTCATTTCAGGTTATATAATCAATCCATAATTCAAAAAGGATCAAGAGTTCATGTAGTTGTACAGCTGAAGGTCTCCATCCCTTTTAATTTCAATTTTGAATTAAAGAATTACCTGCAGGAAATTGTCCATTTCTTTTACATATTCAATTTTGTGGAGTAATGATTTTTTGTAGTATGATCTAATGATTCTCTGGATTTTCTCGGTGTCTGTTGTTATGTCCCCATTTTCATATTTGATTTTGTAAACTTGGATATTCTCTCTCTGTCTTTTGATTAGTTTGGACAGTGTCTATCTTTTTGATTTTCTCAAAGAATCAGCCTTTTGTTTCATTAACTCTTTGTATTGTTTTTCTATGTTTCTATTTTATTGATTTCAGTCCTTAATTTGATTACTTCCTGTCTTTCACTCCTCCTGGGTCAATCTGCTTCTTTTTTTCTAGAGCTTTTAGGGGTGTTGTTAAGTCACTAGAGTGAGTTTTCTCCACTATATTTGTGTAGGCACTTAGTGCTATGAATTTTCTTTTAGCACTGCTTTCATTGCGTTCCATAGATTTGGGTATGTTGTTCCTTCATTTTTTTTTAATTCTAGGAAGTATTTAATTTCTTTCTTTATTTCTTCCTTGACACAGGGGTGGTTAAAAAGAGTACTGTTTAAATTCCATGTTTGTGGGCTTGCTGAAATTAGTGTTGCTGTTGAATTCTAATTTTAAACCATGGTGATCTGATAAGATACAGAGGGTTACTCAATTTTTTTGTATCTTTTGAGGTTTGTTTTGTGACTGAGTATGTATTCAGTTTTAGAGAAGACTCCATGAGGTGCTGAGAAGAAGGTATATTCTTTTGTGTTTGGGTAGATTGTTTGATAGATGTCTGTTAAGTCCATTTGAGTCATGATGTCTATTAGTTCTCTTAACGGTCTGTTAGGTGTTTATCTGATAAAACTGCCCATTGGGGAGACTGGGGTATTAAAGTCTCATACTATTAGTGATGTATGATTGTTGATCCTAGTTAAGACCCTAAGAAGTAGAGGAGAGAGTGCACGAAGAAAACACAAACTGAGGGAAGGCTGGATATGGAAAAATTGAGTAAACAAACAGGAACTGCAGAGACAAGTATTACCAACAGAATCCAAGAGATAGAAGAAAGAATCTCAAACAATGAAGATACTATAGAGGAAATAAACTCACTGATTAAAGAACAAAACAAATCCAACAAATTCTTAACACAAAACATACAGGAAATCTGGGACACCGTGAAAAGACCAAACCTAAGAATAATAAGGGTAGAAGATGGAGAAGATTTACAGCTCAAAGACCCAGAAAATATATTCAACAAAATTATAGAAGAAAACTTTCTCAACCTATAGAAAGATATTCCCATGAAGCTACAAGAAGCATACAGAACACCAAAGAGACTGGATCAAAAAAAAATCCCCTTGCCATATAAAAATCAAAACACAAAACATACAGAATAAAGAACAAATATTAAGAGCTGCAAGGGAAAAAGGTCAGGAAACATATAGAGGGAAACCTATCAGAATTACACATGACATCTCAGTGGAAACCATGAAAGCCAGAAAGTTTGGATAGATGTGCTGCAAAACTAACATCCAGGGATGCAAGCCCAGATTACTATACCTAGCAAAGCCGGCATTCACCATCGATGGAGAAAACAAGACATTCCAGGACAAAAACAGATTTAAACAATACGTAGCCACAAACCCAACTTTACATAAAAATACTAGAAGAAAAGCACAAACCAAGGAAGCCAACAACACCCATAATAAGATAAGGATGTGACAACCCTCCACCAGCACAACTCAAAGAAGGGAAACACACAAACAATAGCACCAGGAAAAATAACCAGAGTCAACAAACTGGTCATGAATATCACTTAATATCAATGGACTCAACTCACCTATAAAAAGGCACAGGTTAAGAGAATAGATTCAAAGTCAGGATCCAACATTCTGTTGCCTACAAAAAACACACCTCAAAAACAAAGACAGACACTGCCTGAGAGTAAAGGGTTAGAAAAAGGTTTTCCAATCAAATGGACCAAAGAAACAAGTGGGTGTGGGTATACGAGTAACTAAAAAAATTGATTTCAAACTAAAATCAATCAGAAAAGATGGAGATGGACACTATATATTCATATCAGGAACAATTCTTCAGAAGGAAGTCTCAATCCTGAATATATATGTCCCTAATATAAAAGCACCCACATATGTAAAAAAAAAACATTATTAGAACTCAAAGCATACATCAAACCCCATACTCTAATAGTGGGTGATTTCTACAATCTTCTCTCACCAATTGACAGGTCAACCAGACAGAAACATAAAAAAGAAATAAGATAATGAACCAATTGGACCTAACAGACATCTACAGAACATTCCACCCAAACAGAAAAGAATATACCTTCTCCTCAGCACCTCATGGAACCTTCTCAAAAATTGATCACATAATTGGTACCAGAGCAAACATCTATAGATATAAAAAAATGTAGTAATCGCCTGTGTACAATTAGATCACCATGGAATAAAGTTAGAATTCAACAAAAAGTCTAACCCAAGAAAGCCTACAAACGCATGGAAACTGAACAGTCAACTCCTGAACCATCCCTGGGTCACGGAAGAAATAAAGAGAGAAATTAAAGTCTTCCTTGAATTCAACGAAAATAAAGACACAACATACCCAAATATATAGGACACTATGAAAACAGTGCTAAGAGGAAAGTTCATAGCACTAAATGCCCACATAAGGGAAACAGAGAAACATACACTAGAGACTTAACAGCACACCTGAAAGCTCTAGAAAAACAGAAGCAGACTCACACAGGAGGAGTAGAAGACTGGAAATAATTAAACTGAGAGCTGAAATCAACAATACTGAAACACAGAAAACAATTCAAAGATTCAATGAAACAAAAAGCTAGTTCTTGGAGAAAATCAACAAGATTGACAAACCCCTAGCCAACTGATAAAACACCAGAGAGAGGACATGCAAATTAACAAGATCAGAAATGAAAAGGGGGACATAACCACGGACACAGAGGAAATTCAGAAAATCATTAGATCTTACTACAAAAGCCTGTATGCCACAAAATTGGAAAATGTGGAAGAAATGGACACTTTTTAGATAAATACCATATACCAAAATTAAGGCAAGACCAGGTGAACACTTTAAATAGACCCGTAAGTCATGAGGAAATCGAAGCTGTCATCAGAAACCTCCTCACCAAAAAATGCCCTGAACCAGATGGTTTCAATGCAGAATTCTATCAGAATTTCCAAGAAGGGTTAATGCCTATACGCCTTAATGTGTTTCACAAAATAGAAACAGAAGAGTCATTGCCTAACTCCTTTTGTGAAGCTACAGTCATCCTGATACCAAAACCTCACAAAGACTTAACCAAGAAAGAGAATTACAGACCAATCTCACTCATGAGCATTGACGCAAAAGTTCTCAATAAAATACTGGCAAACAGAATCCAATAACACATCCAAAAAATATACATTATGATCATGTAGGCTTCATCTCTGAGAGGCAGGGCTGGTTCAGCAAACAAAAATCTATCAATGTAATTCATCATATAAATGAACTTAATGAAAAAACATATAATCATTTCATTATATGCTCAAAAATTATTTGACAAAATTAATTCATCACTCCTTTATGATAAAGGTCTTAGAGAGATTAGGGATACAAGGTTCATGCTTAAATGTAATGAAAACAATATACAACAAGCCAACAGCTAACATTAAATTAAATGAAGAGAAACTCAAAGCTATCCCATTAAAATCAGTATCAAGACAAGGCTGTCCACTCTCTCCATACCTCTTCAACATAGTGTTTGAAGTTCTAGCAATAGCTATAAGACAGCATAAAGAGATAAAGGGAATTCAAATTGGGAAGGAAGAAGTCAAGCTTTCATTATTTGCAGATGATATGATAGTGTACATAAGCGACCCCAAAAATTCTTCCAGAGAACTCCTACAGCTGATAAACACCTTTAGTATTGTGGCAGGATACAAGATCAACTCCAAAAAATCGGTAGCCCTCCTATACCCAAATAACAAAGATAACGAGAGGGAAGTCAGAGAAACATCACCTTTCATGACAGTCACAAATAGCATAAAGTATCTTGGGTAACTCTAACCAAGGAAGTGAAAGATCTATTTGACAAGAACTTTAAGGTTTTGAAGAAAGTAATTGAGGAGGATACCAGAAAATGGAAAGATCTTCCTTGCTCTTTTATTGGGAGGATCAACATAGTAAAAATGGCAATTCTACCAAAAGCAATCTATAGATTCAATGCAATCCCCATCAAAATCCTAACAAAATTCTTCACAGACCTTGAGAGAACAATAATCAACTTTATATGGCCAAAAAACAGGATAGTCAAAACAATCCTATACAGTAATATACTGTAAAAGTAGTGGCGGGCTGCTTCTCTCCGCCCACCCAGGTAGCTTTACCCAAAATAATTACATGGAAACTGTGTTCTTTTAAACACTGCCTGACCCATTATCTGTGGCCTCTTGTTGGCTAACTCTTAAATATTGATCTTACCCATTTCTAATAATCTATGTAGCACCATGAGGTGATGGCTTACCAGGAGGATTCTAACCTGCGGCTGTCTCGGATAGGAGAGTCATGGCGACTGACTCACTGCCTTCTTCCCATCATTCTGTTCTGTCTTCTCTACCCACCTATGTTCTGACCTATCAGGGCAAGCCATTTCTTTATTAACCAACCAATGAAAGCAATACATAGAAACAAGACCCACCTACATCATTTCCCCTTTCTCTGTTTAAACAAAAAGGAAGGCTTTAACTTTAATATTGTGCCTAGCATGGATAACTGCATCCACATAAAACCTAAGAGAGCTTGGGAAGTAATTCTAGAACAAAATGAAGGCATTGCACATGATTTCTTTGTAGCAGCAATTTCTTGGTTCTACTCTGCTTGATAGAGGCAAGCAAGCACTTTCATCTAAGAGAGGCTTCCTGACTCAGCTATAGCTGCAAAACCCTGCAGCTCTTTTAAGAGGTCCTGCCACAAAACACTTAAACGGTGTTGATGAAAAGCTGACTGCATGCTTTTCGACTTTCAGCCATAGCAGGAAAAAAGCTGCACTGTTTTAAAATGCTGGTTTTCTGTGCTGTTCTGCCAGGGCAAATTCTAACACTTTCAGGCAGGCAGTCTGACTGAGTGTGGTCCGTGAGCAGAATGCTACAACTTGCTTGCTGGCAGGGACCTTGAAACACCTTGGAGTTGTGGAGAAAACTGTGGCTATAGCTGGTACCCCTGCCATGAGGCTGGAAAGCTAAGTAATGGGCTGTATCTAGCCGTCAAAGCCATGGCTCTCCATATTGCTTAGTAAATTAAAGGTTCATGTGGCCAGAAAAAGAGAGATATACAGTAAAGAGAGATTCAAAGATTAAGAAAACCTCTAAATGGTTTACAGTGTGTTAAAAATTTATGCAGGCTAAAGGTTAAAGTCATTAAAAATAAAAAAGAAGAAAGGAGAGAAGTAGGGTGTAGTGGTACACACCTTTAATCCCAATGCCTGGTAGGCAGAGGCAGATTGACCTCTGTGATTTTAAGGTGTGGTAGCACACACCTTTAATCCTAGCATGGGGGAGGCAGAGTTCCAGGACAGCCTGTTCTACAGAGTTATTCCAGGACAAAGATATACAGAGAACCTGTCTCAAAAATGCAAAAGTAAAAATAAAAGAAATAGATGTTAAAATAAAGATGGAAAATATACAGAGAATCTTGATACTGTATTCTATTATGCTCTCTTTGAATTGTTTGAATGCTGAGGAAAGAGCAACAGCTGCTAAAAGATATTTGTTTATAAATACTGCCGAACTAACCCAAGATAGGTATTTTGAAAATACCTTGTCTTCAAAATTGAAGTAAAAAGGTATGATACTTTGGAGAAGAGATTTTGCTTTTGTTTCCCTGTAAATGAGAGGCTGTGGATTCATTCTGAGCTTAGAAAAATCAGATTTGATCAAGGAAGACCACCCAAGAAATCCTCAGTAGGAACAGATGGCGCAGACATCTGAGTTCTACATCCAGAACAGATTCAAGTCTGCTGCCTGAGATGATCAAGACTCACAGGATACTCCAGTCAGGACTTGAGTATTAAAATTATAATAATTATAATTATTTAAATTATAATTCTAAATTTTCTTTAGGTCCACATAAGATTATCAGTGCCCCAACCAGAAGGAAATATCCTGGAATACTACGGCCACATTCCCAAAAATGGACTACGGGTATTTTCCTTTGTTTAAAAAAAGGAGAGAGGGAAATGGTGCAGGATAATTGTCTGTAATCTGTCAATCATGTATTTTAATAAAACGCTGATTGGCCAGGCAGGAAGTATAGGTGGGTCAACCAGACAGGAAGTAGAGGAGAACAAGGAGAACAGGAGAGGTGCAAGTGGAGGTGCAAGAAGAACAGGAGAAGGCTAGGAAGGAGGAAGATCACCACATCCCTGCCCAGATCACCTAAGAAGCAATATGTGAGCTGATAACTGAAAAAGGTACAAAGCCATAAGGCTAACATAGATCAGAATAATGGGTTAACATAAGCTGTAAGAGTTAACAAGAAGCCTGAGCTAATGGGCCAATCAGTTTATAATCTTATGGAGTCCTGTGTGAGATTTTCTTTGGTATTTGCTGGTTGTGGGGTACTGGGCAGGACATATACTCCAATAATCCGGCCCTTATGTTAGAAAGTACTTCTGGAGGGATTACCATCCCTGATTTCAAACTCTATTACCGAGCTACAGTAATGAAAACTGCTTGGTATTGGCACAAAAACAGAGATGTTGACCAATGGAATCGAATTGAAGATCCAGATATTAATCCGCATAATTATGAACATCTGATTTTCGACAAAGGAGCTAAAAAACAATGGAAGAAGGAAAGCATGTTTAACAAATGGTGCTGGCATAACTGAATGTCAACCTGTAGAAAAATGAAAGTAGATTCATATCTATCACCATGCACAAAACTCAAGTCCAAATGGATTAAAGACCTCAATATTAATCTGACCAAATTGAACGTGATAGAAGAGAAAGTGGGAAGTAGTCTACAAGACATAGGCACAGGAGACGACTTCCTAAGTAGAACCCAATTAGCACAGAAAATAAAAGCAACAATGAATAGATGGTACCTCCTGAAACCGAGAAGTTTCTGTAAAGCAAAGGACAATGTCAGTAAGATAAATAGGCAACCTACTGATTGAGAGAAGATATCACCAATCCCTCATCAGATACAGGTCTGATCTCCAAAATATACAAAGAACTCAAGAAACTAGACACTAAAACTCTAATTAATACAATTAAAAAATGGGGTACTGAACTGAACAGCGAATTCACAACAGAAGAACTTTGAATGGCCAAAAGACACTTAAGGTCATGCTTAACCTCCTTAGCAATCAGGGAAATGCAAATCAAAACAACTTTGAGATACCATCTTACACCTCTCAGTCTAGCTAAACTCAAAAACACCAATGATAGCCTATGCTGGAGAGGATGTGGAGTGAGGGGAACACTCATCCATTGTTGGTGGGAATGCAAACTTGTGCAGCCACTGTGGAAATCAGTGTGGCAGTTTCTCAGGAAACTGTGAGTCAACCTTCCTCAGGACCCATCAATTTCACTCTTGGGAATATACCCAAGAGATGCCCTATCATCCTACAAAAACAATTGTTCAACTGTGTTCATAGCAGCACTATTTGTAATAGCCAGAACCTGGAAACAACCTAGGTGTCCCTCAATAGAAGAATGGTTAAAGAAGGTGTGGAACATATATACATTAGAGTTTTACTCAGCGGTAAAAAATAATGATATCTTGAATTTTGAATACAAATGGACGGAAATAAAAAAATGGTTTACTGAGTGGTAACCCAGACCCAAAAGGAGGTATGTAGTATGTACTCACTCATTAGTGGATTCTTGCCATAATTAAAGGACCTTGAACATATAATTCGTGATCCTAGAGATGCTAAATAAGAAGGTGAATCTGAAGAAAATCATATAGCTATCCTCCTGGATATTGGAAGTAGACAAGATTGCCAGGCAACCTTGGGTGTACAGGGGGGAGGTTGGGGATGAATGTAAGGGGAGATGGGTAAAGAGACACTCATCAGCAATCATGTACACTCACACAATGCACTCATGCATTGATGAACTCACAGAGAACACAGCACACACTCACATAGTACACACAACACCTTATCTCTCTCACATGTACACACTAGTCATGGTTCATTAAAAAATAAGGATAAAGTCATGTCTTCCCAGCAGTTCTGTAAATAAATATAATAGCAAACTACTATGTGTGTATACCAACAATTAAACTGTTATCTCCTCAACCTAATAAACTATCCTCAAATATAAAGAAAACATTCTTTTTTTCATTTTCTTGAGAATTTTATAATGAGTATTGTATTTACATCAATTCCATCTTGCTCTCTTCTCCCTCTGACTCCTCCCATTAACTCTCTCCTCTCAACTTCATGACGCCATCTTGCTAAGTTTACCTAGTGTTGCTCATGTGTACATTAATTTAGGGATGATCACTTTCAGGTGTGTCAACCCACAGCCCACAAACTACGCACCTACAACTGTAGGGCCCTGTCTTCCCTGTTCCTCGAGGCCAAAGCACAGGATGCAAAAAATGTTCACGCTAACCAGCTTAGCTTCCCCTGCTCATTCTGTCAGCCGGAGGGAATTAGTTCAAAGCCTTGTTTCTGTCTTTGCTGTGATAATTTCACCTGCTAAGTAAGGTTCTCACAGGCACCCTAAATCTCCTCCCATCTGTCTCTCAGGGTTCCTAGCTTGATACCCCCTATATGGAGGCTCCAGTTGCTTGCGCCAAGCAGTCAACACTATGATCTCACTCCCAGATGGGAGGGGGCTCTCGTCCTCTTGCCTCCCAGTATTTAAACCAACATGTGCTAAATAAAGCTGACATTTACCCTTTGGGCAAATGATCCTGGTCTCTGTGTGTGTCTGTTTAACTCCTAGGATATTAATCCAGGCTCGTGATCCTATACAAAAAGCACGCACTTGTACCGGAGAGTGAGGATTCGCAGATAAGTGCGGGACATTCAACGGCAACTCTGAATTAATCTCCACAATCATAAACTTTAAATGTATAAACTTTATAAGTTTGGGGTTTTGGGAAATATAATTTCTTGTAGCTCAATTTTCGATTTTAAGCCATGGATTTTGTAGGTGACAATGTTGTCAAACAATCAAAACTCTGGGCTCAAATGCACTGTTTGACACTTTCACAATTGAAACATCCAGCTTGCTTCTCTGGATCTCTCCCACCCAGAAACTTTTCAAAACTCACCCATCATTTTAACAGAAGGTCTCTCACTTGACTTTTCTGTCAAAGCTTGTCTTTATTTCACAAGTCCATCATGTCATGTCATGCCAGAATAATCAGGAGGCAAAGTCTGAAAATCACTAACAAACATAAACATTTGCTCTACCTTCCTATTCTGCTTGAACTCAACTAATATCAAGGTAGCCGGGGCAGGGGAAATGAGTGTATTCAGAAGTCATTTACCCTGAATGAACTGGGTTCATGAGCTAAAAATCTAGATCATTAATTAAGACAAGGGATCTCTTGGTAATTAGCAAACAAATAATCAGCCATAGAAAGTCAGCAAATACCAATCACTTGTTACATTTTCTTTAAACTATGTTTTTTGTTTATTGGAGAGTTATGCCATGGTGCATGGTGAGGTCGGAAAACAGTGTTGAGGAGGTGTTTATTGATGTTTACCAAGTGATCCCCAGGGACAGATCAAGTTCCTAAGTTGGTCAGCAATTGTCTTTGCCACTAAGACACATCACCACCCCTACACTTTTTAATACAGCAAAATTATGTAATAACATAACTGTCCCAGGTAGTTGTCTTAATTAGGGTTTCTATAGCTGTGCAGAGACACTATGAACAAAACAACTCTTAGAAAGGAAAATCATGTAATTGGGGTAGATTGCATTTTCAGAGATTTAGTCCATTATCATCATCATGCAACATGCTGGTGTTCCCGAAGACATGGAACTGGGTATGGAGATTCTTACATCTTGACTTGTAGGCAACAAAAAATGGTCTGTCTCATTGAGTGTGTCTTGAGCATATTTGAGACCTCAAATCTCACCTCTACAGACTTTCTCCAACAAGATTTCACCTACTCCTACAGGGTCACACATTCTAATAGTGCCACTGCCTTTGAAATTATGGGGGCAAATTACGTTGAAACTATCAGACATTTTTAAGTTTAATTTGTCACAGCCTAGTGTCACATGAGGAAGGAATCTCAGTAAAAATATTGTTCAGGTCACATAAGCCTGCGGGTACATCTTGGGAGATTGTCATGATTATTAATTAATGTAGTAGAGTTCAACTGGTTTGGGGAAGCATCATTTCCTTCGCAGATGGTCCTGAGCTGTATGAGAAAGCTAACTAAATTAGAGTCTGAGCCCTCCAGCAAGCAGCATTTCTCTATGGTTTTAACTGAAGTTCTTGCTTGAGTTCCTGCCTTGACTTCCTTCAGTGATGGGTAGTAACCTTTAAGTGGAAATAAAACCTGTTTCTTCCAAAAATTGCTTTTGTTCAGATTGTTTTATTACTTTAATAGAAAGGAAACCAGAATGATAGCCCAGAATAGCACTGGGCTATTACAGAATAAGACCCACTCTGTATTCCAGGCTGGTCTCAGACTTGTGGTCCTTTCCCTCAACCTCTCATGAGCTGGCATTATAGCCTATAGTCACCTCACCTAGTTTCTATCCTCCTTTGCATTCAATTGTGCAGGGAGCCCAAGAAACAAATGGCTATGGTGCCTGCCATAAACAGTGACTTTGCCAGGGGTTCTTCCCATCCTAGATTAGGACCCAGTACTGTAGTCATACCTTGTAATTCTCTCTAGAACCTTGAGCCTCTTCTGTTTATCCAAATTGAGTCTTCACTTACCCTGAAGTTGGATGCACCATTGTGGGATAGATAGTAAGTTGACATGTGAACAAACCAGCAAAATGAGATACACTGGGACAGGCATGGTGGTGCAAGCCTTTAATTCCAGTACTCAGGAGGCAGATGCAAGTAGATCTCTTTGTGTTTGAGTCCAGCCGGGTCTATATAGTAAGTTCCAAGAGAGCCAGGGGTATTTAGACAGACCCTGTGTCAAAAGGAGATACTGAATATGAATATTCCACTGTACGATGTTTTAAGAGGAACCAGGAGCTCAGAGGAGCAACAGACAATAGTATCTGATGTGGCCTGAGAGTGCCAAGTGTCACCCACATGTCCCTTCTCATTCTCTATCATGGAATAGTAGACCAGAAGATAAATAAAGAAGGCATCTCAAGGCTGTTATAACAACTCAGTTTAATGACAGACGTTATCTTGGTTCATTTTAGATTGATCTCACAAGTTATTTTAGACTGGCGACTTATTTATAAAGAGCAGACAGGATTAGTGACTTTCACCAAGATGTAATAATGGCATAGGACAGACATTCAGTAGAGCACAAATGGAAAAGACATATTTCAAAGGAAGAAGGACAGGGATACCTGTGGAAAATGGCACAAGGATGTTTTAGTTGTTCTTCATAGGGAAAATAATAGAAAACTCCACTGGAAAGAGGGATTGAGAACAAAGAAGGAAGGAAGTATCTGTGCATAATGACAGAAGGCCATATAGGCTGTGGCTCATGAGAGAAAATGGTGTTTGTTTCTCTTGAGATTGAGAGAGGATGAAAGCAAGACAAGAAAAACATTCTCTGTAGTGAAAACAAATTATCCCCTAGTATTATAAAATAGGCTCAGTATCACAAATGAAGGGAGACATCATCATGGGTGTAGAAGTTGGCTTCCTCCATTTTATTTTTGTTCTTGGTTTGCTTGGGGAACTTTTCACTGTTTTTTGTTTTTATGTTTCAATGTTTTATTATTGGAGTGATTTTTTATATATGTAGGTGTGGAGGTACATGCTCATACAGGGTCAAATATGTGTGGGTGCTTGCTTTTGCAGGTCAGTGGTTGCTGTCTGGTGTCTTTCTTCATAGCTCCCACTTGAACTGTGATTTCTGAATGAACCCAGAGCTAACTAGTCTAACTAGTCTCGGTTGCCAAGTTTAACCCAGGGATCCTGTGGATGTACCAAATAACTGTCATATCTGCACACCTTTGTAAGGGGGATACTGGTGATTGAAATTTTGGTCTTCAGGTTTCCACACAAATGCTTTATCTACAACCCCTAATTGATCTTGAGTGGATGGGTGTGTAGGAAGTTTTGCTTGTTTTATATTTACCAAGGAGCTAATACCAGGATTTTCTTGCAATTTTGTCTCAACTGCTTGTACTGGCTTCTTGGGAACCCATTCTCTTTGGATGGATACCTTGGTCAGTCTATGAATAGTAGGGAGGGTCTTGGACCTTCCCCAAAGTAATATGCCTTACCGTCTCTGAGGAGTACATGGGGATGGGGTGGGGTGGTGGAGAAGGTATAGAGCGTGGGAACAGATATTCCTATATAAAATTGAAATAGGTTGTTTTTCTTTAAAATAAAATAAAATAAAAGTACCTCACTGAGACTGGGTTTTAGGCAAACCTGAAAGGCATTTTCAGAACTAATCATTGATGGGGTAGAAGTGTGGGTTGTGCCATTCCTGAGTTGGCGATCCTGAGATCTTTTTTTTGTTTGTTTGTTTGTTTGAAGTACAAAGGTTTTATTTTTTTTTAATTTACTTACTTATTTATTTACAAAAATTTCCACTTCCTCCCCTCCTCCCAATACTCTTCCACTCCCTCTACTTCCTCTCCTCCTCCCTCTCCAGTCCAAAGAGTAGTCAGGGTTTCGTTCCTCCCCCCTACCTCCAGGTCTAGGAAGGTGAGCATCCAAACAGACTATGACCCCAAACAGCCAGTACATGCAAATGAAACAAGACCCAGTGCCACTGTCAATGGCTTCTCAGTCAGCCCCCATGTCAGCCACATTCAGAGGATCCGGTTTGATCACATGCTCATTCAGTCCCAGTCCAGCTGGTCTTGGTGAGCTCTCATTAGATCAGTCCCCTTGTATCAGAGGGTGAATGCACCCCTTGCGGTCCTGACTTACTTTTTCATGTTCTCCCTCCTTCTGCTCCTTATTTGGACCTTGGGGGTTCAGTCCAGTGCTCCAATGTGGGTCTCTGTCTCTATCTCCATCCATCGTCAGAAGGAGGTTCCCTCTGATCCTGCCTTTCTTGCTCACATTCTCCCTACTTCTGCTTCTCATTTGGACCTAGGGAGTTAAGTCCAGTGTTCCAATGTGGGTCTCTGTCTCTATCTCCATCCATTGTCGGATGGAGGTTCCCTCTGATCCCGCCTTTCTTGTTCACATTCTCCCTACTTCTGCTTCTCATTTGGACCTAGGAAGTTAAGTCCAGTGTTCCAATGTGTGTCTCTGTCTCTATCTCCAACCATCCCCAGAGGAAGGTTCTATGGTGAATGCAAAATATTCATCAGTATGGTTATGGGCCAAGGCCAGTTCAGGCACCCTCTTCTCTGCTGCCCAGGGAACAATCTGGGGACCTCTCCTTGGACCTAGGAACCCCTCCAGAATCAAGGCTTTTGCAAACCCTAAAATGCCTCCCTTAGTTGAGATATATACTTTCCTGCTCCCATATATATCTTTCCTCCCTCCCCTCTATCCCATTCCCCCAAGCTAGCCCCAATCTTCCCCTCTCCCTTCTCTCTAACCATTTCCCCTTACTTCCACCATCCACCCCATGTGCACCCAAGGTTGCCTGGCAATCTTGTCTACTTCCAATATCCAGGAGGATAACTATATGATTTTCTTCAGGTTCACCTTCTAATTTAGCTTCTCTAGGATCACGAACTATAGGCTCAAAGACCTTTAATTATGGCTAGAATTTACGTATGAGTGAGTACATACCATATTCCTCTTTTAGGGTCTGGATTACCTCACTCAGTAAAGTGTTTTCTGTTTCCATCCATTTTCATGCAAAATTTGAGATGTCATTGTCTTTTACCGCTGAGTAAAACTCTAAACTGTATATGTTCTGCACCTTCTTTAACCAGTCCTCTATTGAGGGGCACCTAGGTTGTTTCCAGGTTCTGCTGAAATAGCGCAGCTATGAACATAGTTGAACAAATGCTTTTGTAGTATGTTAGGGCATCTCTTGGGTATATTCCCAAGAGTGGAATTGCTGGGTCCTGAGAGAGGTTCATTTCCAGTGTCCTGAGAAACTGCCACACTGATTTCCACAGTGGCTGCACAAGTTTGAATTCCCACCAACAATGGATGAGTGTTTCCCTCACTCCACATCCTCGCCAACATAGGCTGACATTGGTGTTTTTGATTTTAGCTATTCTGAGAGGTGTAAGATGGTATCTCAAAGTTGTTTTGATTTGCATTTCCCTGATTGCTAAGGAGGTTGAGCATGACCTTAAGTGTCTTTTGGCCATTCGAAGTTCATCTGTTGTGAATTCTCTGTTCAGTACAGTACCCCATTTTTTAATTGGGTTAATTAGAGTTTTAGTGTCTAGTTTCTTGAGTTCTTTGTATATTTTGGAGATCAGACCTTTGTCTGATGAGGGGTTTGTGAAGATCTTCTCCCTGTCCGAAGGTAGCCTTTTTATCTTACTGATAGTGTCCTTTGCTTTACAGAAGCTTCTCAGTTTCAGGAGGTCCCATTTATTCGTTGATTCTCATATTGTCTGTGCTGCTGGGGTTCTACTTAGGAAGTGGTCTCTTTTGCTTATGTCTTGTAGACTACTTCCCACTTTCTCTTCCATCAGGTTCAAAGTGGTCAGATTAAAGTTCATGTCTTTAATCCATTTGTACTTGAGTTTTGTGCACGATGATAGATATGGATCAATTTTCATTCTTCTACAGGTTGACATCCAGTTATGCCAGCACCATCTGTTAAAAATTGCTTTCCTTCTTCCATTGTATACCTTTATCTCCCTTGTCATAAATCAGGTGTTCATAGGTTTGTGGGTTAATATCCGGGTCTTATATTTGATTCCATAGGTCGATGTTTCTGTTCTTATGCCAATACCAAGCTGTTTTCAATACTGTAGCTCTGTAATAGTGTTTGAAGTCAAGAATTGTAATGCCTCCAGAAGTTCCTTTATTGTATAAGATTGTTTTGACTATCCTGGGTTTTTTGTTTTTCCATATAAACTTGATTATTGTTCTCTCAAGATCTGTGAAGAATTTTGATGGGATTCTGATGAGGATTGGATTGAATCTATTGATTGCTTTTGGGAAAATTGCCATTTATACTATGTTGATTCTCCCAATCCAAGGGCAGGGGAGGTTTTTCCATTTTCTGGTAACCTCCTCAATTTCTTTCTTCTAGGACTTAAATTTCTTGTCAAATAGGTCTTTCACTTCCTTGGTTAGAGTTACCCCAAGTTATTTTATGCTATTTGTGGATATCGTGAAAGGTGATGTTTCTCTGATTTCCCTCTCTGCTTCTTTATCCTTTGTGTATAGGAGGACAACTGATTTTTTTCGAGTTGATCTTCTATCCTGCCACATTACTAAAGGTGTTTATCAGCTGTAGGAGTTCTTTGGTAGAGTTTTTGGGGTCGTTTATGTACACTATCATATCATCTGCAAATAACAAAAGTTTAAGTTCATCCTTTCCAATTTGAATCCCCTTGATCCCCTTATGCTGTCTTATTGCTATTGTTAGTTTAATTCTAACTAACTATATTCAATTAATATAAATATTAATTATATTAATATAATATTAATAATATAATAGAATTAATTTAATTCTAACTATTTAATAATAATAATTTAATTATTATTGCTTATTATAATTCAAGCACTATATTGAAAAGGTATGGAGAGAGTGGACAGGCTGGAGTTGTAGCTATGTATAGTTTAAATTTGTTTTTTTCCTGGACTATTTTGTTTTCTCCATTGACAGTGAATGATAGATTGACTGGGTATAGTCATCTGCGATTGCATCCATGGTCTCTTAGTTTCTGCAGTACCTCTATTCAGGACCTTCTGGCTTTTATGGTTTTCATAGAGAAGTCTGGTATAAGTCTGATTTGTTTACCTTTATAAGTTACTTGACCTTTTTCCTTTGCAGCTCTTAATATTCCTTCTTTAATCTGAATGTTTTGTGTTTTGATTATTATATGGCTCGGGGATTTTTTTTTGATCCAGTCTATTCGGTGTTCTGTATGCTTCTTGAACCTCCATAGGAATATAGTTCTTCAGGTTGGGAAAGTTTTCTTCTATATTTTTTGTTGAATATATTTTCTGGGCCTTTGATTTGCAATTCTTCTCCTTCTTCTACCCCTATTATTCTTAGATTTGTTTTTTATTGTGTCCCACATTTCCTGAATGTTTTGTGATGAGAATATGTTGAATTTGCTGTTTTCTTTAGTCAGAGCGTTTATTTTCTCTAAGGTATCTTCAGAGTCTGAGATTCGTTCTTCTATCTCTTGAATTCTATTGGTTATGCTTGTTTCTGAAGTCTCTGTTCATTTACCTAGATTTTCCATATTCAGCCGTCCCTCGGTTTGTGTTTTCTTCATTGCATTCATTTCAGTTTTCAGTTCTTTAACAGTTTCCATTACCTGTTTGATTGTTTTTTCTTGGTTTCCCAGGGTGTCATTTAAAGATTTACTCATTTTTCAAACTTTTTGTTATTCTTCTCTTCCATTTCTTTACTCATTTATTCAAACTTTTTGTTATAGTTCTCTTCCAGATTTTCACCTCCTCTTCAAGTTCCTCTATTATTTTCATATAGTTCTGCTTAGAGTCATTTTCTTCTATTTCTTCTGGAGTAGGGTGTTCAATTCTTCTAGTTTTGTGATACCTGGATCCTGGTGATATCATGTTGCCTTTCAGGTTTTTGGAGGAATTCTTGCATTGGTGCCTGCCCATCTCTTCCTCTCTGGATGGAACTCCTCAGCACTGGTGTAGGGATAATTGGTATTCCAAGGATACAAGAGACAGAAGGGCGACCTTGGTAGCAGAGTAGGTTCGAGTGGAACACAGAAGACCTTGCAGCATAAGCTTAGGGGGGGAGGCTGTGCTCTCTTCTGGGACTGTCTGTCCTGGATAGCCCAGTCTCACCCCTCTGGTTGGAACTCCTTAGCACTGAAATAGGAACAGGTGGTACTCCAAGGACACAGGAGACAAAAGGACTACAGTGGGGGCAGGGTAGAGTCCAGGGGAACACAGAAGACCCTTCTGCAGAAGCTGGGGGGGCTGTGCTCTCTTCTGGGACAATCTGCCCCAGCTAGCACACACTCACCTCTCTGGATAGAACTCCTCCACACTGAAACAGGGATTGTTGGTGTTCCAAGGACACAGAAGACTAAAGGGTGACCATGGTGGCAGGGTAGCGTCGAGTGGAACACATAAGACCCTGCAGCATAAGCTGAGGGGGGGCTGTGCTCTCTTCCATTACAGTTTTCCCCGAATAGCTCAGACTCACCCCTCTGGTTGGAACTCCTAAGCACTGAATTAGGGGCAGCTGGTAATCCAAGGACACAGGAGACAAAAGGGTGACAGTGGGGGCAGGGAAGAGGCCAGTTTAACACCGAATACCCTGCCACCAAAGCTGAAGGGGGGACTGTGCTCCCGGTCCTGAGATCTTTAAGAAAACAGGGTGAGCAAGCCATGGGGAACAAGTCAGTAAGCAGCACCCCTCCATAACTTCCGCACAAGCTCCTGCCTCCAGATTCCTGTCTTGTTTGAGTTCCTGCTCTAGTTTCCTTCAATGGTGGACTATGATGCAGAAGTGTAAGCCAGATAAACCTTGCTTTTTGGTCATGTCATTCCTTCACAGCAATAGAAACCCTGACTAAGTCAATCATCATTTTTTTTTCTGGTCGATTTGGGTTATCTAACAAACTCACAAGGCACACAGGGTACCAAATATATTCTTTCCCTAGCTCTGAGTTTATAGGTTTTGTGCTATTGACATTAAAAAACCTGACCCTGAATAGTCAACAGCAATCTTAGGACTAGGAAAGGGCCCTCAACACATCAGTGGATTCTACAGTTACCAGAGTACCAACTCTTGTTTGTTTGTTTGTTTTTGCTTTTGAAGAAAAAGCCTCATGCAGTTTAGTCTGCCCTCAAATTTGCCACGTAGGTAAGGGTGAGCTTGAACTCCTGATTCTCCTGTCTTCTAGGTACAGAGGTTACAGACATGAGCCATCCATACATGTCTGAGATGATTTTTCCAGAGGATGGATGTAAAACTCAGAGCTTAAAAACATCCAACACTTGGGAGACAGAGGCATGTGGATCTCTGTGAGTTTGAGGCCAGCCTGGTATACAAAAGCTAGTTTCAGGACAGGTTCTAAGCTACAGAGAATCCCTGTCTCAAAAAAAAACTGAAAAAGGAAGAAAGAAATTGCACTCACAGTGAAGGTGGCAGATGAATAAGGAGCATGTCTATCTACTTGATGGAGCAACAGGAATACATGCCAGAGATAGACAGAGAGGATGGTGGTTCATCTTGATTGCCAACGTAATGTCACCTAAAACCATTAATAAGCAGAAAGTAAAAAAGAGATGAACCCACATCTGGCCTTTGTTGAAAAAAGACAAACACAGACAGAAAATGCTAAGGCTGAGCTAATTCACATAATTATGCCTGCCTAAGACTGTAGAGATGGTTGTGTGGTCAAGAAAACTGACTACTCTTCCAGGAGATCCAGGTTCAAGTCCCAGAATTCACATGACAGCGCATAACTCTATGTGTGTCCTGTTCCAGGGGATGTTACAGACACCCTCACAGTAATGAACAGAAAATAAATAAATAAAAAGCACTTCACATGGGTAAATAGATATATTAAATAATTAAATAACTAAATAATTAAAAATATTGTACCCTTCTGATCACTGTGAGAAAGAAAAGAAAGCTCAGGTTTGTTGGCACACATCTGTAACCCCATCACTCAGAACACAGAGGCAGGCTCATCTGTGTGATTTCAAGGTCAACCTGGTCTACATAGCATGTTCTAGGTCAGCCAGGGCTACACAATGAAATTTTGTCTCAAACAAAAAAACAAATCACAAATAAAGACATAGAGAGAGAGAGAGAGAGAGAGAGAGAGAGAGAGAGAGAGAGAGAAAGAGAGAGAGAGAGAAAGAGAGAGAGAGAGAGAGAGAGAGGAATGTGTTGTTGTTTAGAACCCATTTTCTGTGCTCAGTCAGCATACCTAGCATTCTGGAAGGGTTTGAAAAAAAAAGTGCCTCACTTTTACACATGAGTTCCAAGTATTCTTATTGTGTATAGAAGACTGTTGCTTTTCATGTACACTTACGACTTTTAAAGGAAAAATTTATATGTATTAAACATTGAAATTTAAAACTGTGTTTTGGCTTTACTTTGCCTAATGAGAATTGATATATCAGAAGTTTTTTATGAAATCTGAAGATATTAAGAGATAATAAGACCTTGAAAGAGGTAGAGTCTAAGAGAGGTCATCTCTGTGTGTCCCTGAGCTGTGATTTCCTGTCTTACCCAAGGGAAACCTTGAGATTCAGCTTCCTGCTCCTCAGTTGCAAACATGAGTCAAAACGACTTAAGCATAGTTGATGTGGATGGCAAAAGGGGGCATCTACATGGTGTGTGATATTGCAGACCCATAGAATGCAAGAGTGTTGAAGTTGTGGTGCAACTGTGACACAAATGTTATGGGAGTAACCAATCACTTTTTAATTGAATTTCAGGCCCACTCGATAAAATGGGACCCGTACCCAACAATGAGGTCAATGAGATCAAGAACCTGAGACGAGATAAATCATGAGTCCAGGAGAAGACCTACTACTGATAATATACTGAATATATATAGCAGTAAAAAGATTCCTACTGACCCAACCCTCATCAGAAAAGCATCTTTTTATAGTAGACTGTAACTAACAAGAAAACCTACAACTTGTCAACATGAAGTGAGGAAGAGACTTTGAAATGCTTGGCTCTGTCCAGGATGTCTATGTCACACCTCTTCCTTTAAGGTTCAGGGATCCATATGGAATAGAAGGCAGAAAGAGTCTAACAGCCAGAGGTAGTGTATGACTTCAAGGAATCAGCATTTTCAGACACAGCATTGCAGCTGCACATATGAACTCCCAGAGACTGTGGCACAATTCACATGAAGTGCAAAAGCTCAAACCAGACAAAATCTTAGTGCAGAGAAGCAGAGAGTCCTACCCATAGCCAAGCAGATATTGTCAACTGGTAGTTCCTGAGAGAAGGAAGGCCAGTTTTCTTCAGTGGAGTGACACTGGGTTTGTCAACTACACTTCGGGGCAGGCCTCACACTCAAGAATTTTTATCTAGCAAGTACTGGACTCCACAGCATGTTTTGTTAAGTTTTGTTTTGAAATAGTGGGAGACAAAATAAAGCTGGGTAAGAAGGGAGATGGGGAAAGATCAGGGAGAAGTTAGAGGAAAGGAATTATTATGACCAAAATATACTGTAAGCTCTAAAAGCATATAAAATGTGTTTAATGGAAAGGCTTTGAGTTTCTCTCCATTCAGTTTAATGTTAGCTGTCTGCTTGCTGTATATTGCTTTTATTATATTTAGGTATGATCCTTGTATCCCCAGTCTCTCCAATACCTTTATCATAAATGAGTGTTGAATTTTGTCAAATGCTTTTTCAGCATCTAGTGAGATGATCATATGGTTTTTTTCTTTCAGTTTATTTATGTGATGGATTACATTGATAGATTTTTGTATGTTGAACCAGCCCTGCATTTCTGGAATGAAGCCGACTTGATCATAATGGATAATTTTTCTAATGTGTTCTTGGATTCGGTTTGCCAGTATTTTATTTAGAATTTTCGCGTCGATGTTCATGAGTGAGATTGGCCTGTAATTCTCTTTCTTGGTTGTGTCTTTGTGTGATTTTGGTATTAGGGTAACTGACTGCCCTAAGGGACGAAGAGGGAGGAGGAGAGGGAATGGGGGGAGTGGGAGGGTGTTGGGAAGAGGGGCGGAAATGGAATCTTTTATAATTTAATAAAATTACTTTCAAAAAATGTGTTTAAATTTGCTTTCTTGTCTTTAAGAAATTTTAAAACTTTAATAGCATTTTCATTCACACAAAGCTCATATTTGAAAATATTAAAGGCATTTACTTTGCTTAGTAATATAATGGACTTGGGAAATATTTAACAAGCCTTAATATTTATTATAAGACTAGCAATGACCATTGTCAACATGTCAAATTTTCATAGGGCCTTTTATAGGTTTTACTGAGAAAGGATGATGACGGATTTTGTAAATAGTCTCTCTTATGCCACAAGTGTTTAATCTACTCTTCTACCAGAGTTTTGATGACAATATCCTCTCTAATGACTGTGGTTATTTTGATTGACAATTATCAAGAAAGTGGAGAATCAACTACTTGTTTTTTTAAGATTGTAGAGCTTAGGTTTATGAATCTCATTAATCTCAGTGTCAGCAATTCATAAAAGGTCAGCTTTGTAGACCAGGGTTCCTAATTGTTTATGTTTTTTTATACAAAGCATTTTCCAAGCGGTCACATGGTCTTAATAATTAGAAATTTAACTACCCTGAATAATGTTGCTCAGTACAGAGGGGCCATAACTTGAATACACTATTGCCCAACTACCAATTATAAATTTTTTTAATTGGGGTTTTAACAGAGATGTTAATTTATATTTTCAGTATAACATTAGTGTACTATTTCAGTGTCACATTAGAAGCCAAAACATATGAAAACAATTTCACAACTAGAGCTGTTACAATAGTTCACATTTTAATTAAAAATTTATTGCTCTAATTACAGAGACCTGATTACTCTCCAAAAAGCACAAAAGAAATTGATGGAAACAATTTGATGTAGATGGAGGTGGTCTCAGGAAGATTAGAGAAGATGAATTTCTTGTTCTCTCAGCTGATTTAGTCAATTCCTTTACATTAGATTGTACTGTGTATTGACAATGAGAAAACTCAATGGATGCAATGAATCCTAAACATGCACCAAGTCCAGTTGATTAACCTTCATCTTGATGTGGGTTTTATTCATGAAGGAAATTAAAGATTCCAATGTTCTTAGACACCACCTGAAGAGGAACACTGCAGACTCCTTGAGAGAAAGTCATGCTCCAGTTATTACATCCCGTGGTACAACCTTCAGAACAACAGGTTTTTCTGGTTGAAGAATTGGTTGTCTGTTTAATTTCAAGGGAATCTGCAACAGTAGAAGTAATATTGAAAATCAATGAGTGAGGCAACAACAACCCATAATGAAAAGTAAAAACCGTTCAGAATGGTGATACTTTTCAGGGACATCTAAGCTGCATTTGATTGAGGTCATATGGTTGGACTTCCTTCTCCTCTAAGCTGTATCCATTAGATGGTAAAAGCATGCTTCCAAATATGCATAAGGCAATACATTTATTGAGACTCTACTGTAAACAAGGTCTGTTATGAAGTCATGACAGTTTGTGTTATTTCTTTTCCATGCTACTTTGAGGTGAAACTATCGAATATAAATTTTACTTTTGTTTTTTCTGACAGGTTCTCACTTTGTAGCTGTGACTGTCCTGCAACTCATTATTATCTAACTGCTTTTGCCTCCTGAGTGTTGGAACTAAATGCAAGCATTACTAAGTCCAGCCAGCAGAACATATTTGAGCCTGATTCTTAGTTACTATGTCATATTGTTTTTCTTAAGTCCTGAAAAGTCATTTTTGGTTTGTTGACATTTGCAAGTTAACCCTGATAGGATACATTTCACCTCTATGAACAGTCCTCATACCCTAGATCATATGTCACTTGCACAGTTGAGCCAATTCTGGACAAGTCTTTAGGAGGACAGATATTTGCTTGCTTTTTGGCATCTATTTGTGGCTTTCAGTGATGGGATGAATGAAGAATTCTGAGTCCTACAGTGTTTTCAGTAATGGTTTAGCATCATGCTATTCAGTGATGGAGGGGAATGAAGGAGTAATCTTTTGGTCACAGGAGAAGGGAGGGGGAACAAAGTTGTCATGGAGATAGAGAGGTGTGAAATTTAAGATGACTGGGAGCTTACCAGAGCATCTGCCCTTGACAGGTGTGCCATTGACTCTCAAAACTTGAACCTTTCTTTGTCTGTTATCTCTATACATGCTTGTGCTTTAAATGCTTTAGTGAAAAAGTAGTAAAAGAAGTGAGATTGTGTGTTGATAAATCTACATGACTGCCTTGAACCAGAAATTACAAAATAAATATTACTATCCCTCTATTCATCCAATAAATCTATTTGCCAAAGAGAAGCCACAGTCTAAATACACAAGTACCATAAATTTCAGCCATCTCTTTGCATGAAACAGGAACAAGTTGTTCAGAAAATGTGAATGCTTTCTCTAAATGTTCCATCTTATTCTTTTAAAATTTTAAGTAGTATACATGTGTTTTCCATGGAGGTATAAAAAAGAGATGTACATAAAATATATATACAAGTGTGATCTGTCATTTTTAATTAGCTTTAATTTTTGTGAAAGAATATTATA